TTTGCTTTTATTTCAATATTGTGAGAAATTTTTTTATTGTAATACATAATTTATTTAAAACTTAATATTTTCTTTATATATTATTTTACATATTTTTTACTTTTTTAAGTATCCTTTTCAAAGGCAATATCTGACCACAAAAAAATATTATCTACGATCCCACATTTCTTCAAATGTGCATTCCTCTATGTTTTCTTCTAACAACTTTTTTAATCACTTCGATGTTAATTAATAGGCTTTAGAATTGTATTTCACTTAATTTTTTAGCAAAAAATTCGGTCTTGATCCATAGTATTTTATAATTTTTATAAAATAAAATTTTTTCTTCAATATGATTGGTTTTCAGACGTTCTTTGCAACCACTTCTCGTTTAATGTAAAAAATACATCAGTTTGATGATTAAAGTATTGATGAAAGCGATAAAAAAAATTTACTATCTTTTATTAGTTCAGCTTGATTAAAGTAAAATTGAAAGGCGTGAATACGATATGGGACATGCAATAAAGGGAGTATAGATATTTGGATGCAAATATTAAACAAGTAACAGAATATTATTTGACACAAATATAATGAAATGAGAATTTAAATGCATAACATAAACAACTTTAAAGCATGTTCTTCCTGGCTTAATCATCGCCACTGTTGATTGAAAATGGTATAATAGAACCAAAAGACGAAGTGCTTACATTGTACAGTAAATAGTCTATTTAAGCATTATAAACGGTCATAATAACACCATTATAACAGCTGTTCAAGACTCAAATTTGCAATACAATCAGAATGTTAGTTTCAGAAAGAGTTGAATCAATGGTTGTTTTATGTGGAATATCGAATATAAAAGTTGTGATTTGTATAAGAGTTTTATGAAATTTAAATATTTGTAAAAAAATTATTTCTATATATTATGTTTTCATAGTTTTATTTGTTTTTTTTTGAATATACAAAAAATCTTATATCGGATACGAAACAGAATTAAATAGTAGAATAAAATCATATTTGTGTGTTAAAAAATTGTATAGCTAAATAGCCACCACTAACCAAATCTAATTTCTTGAAAAATTAAAAATATATTTTTTAATTCATAATTTTAATTTTTAAATGTTTTATAATTATTTAAATTCATAAAATTTAATGATATATTATAAAATAGCATTATAATTAAAAAAATTTAAAAACATTATTGAGCTTTTGCAAACCTTATAAAAGTCATCTTGGGTTTATAAAATATATAATATTAAAAATGTATAATCTAAAATTCTTACAATTTTTAAAACGACAATATTATTTTTATTATAACTCAGCAGATTTGTATAATTATTAAAAAGAAAAAATTCCTCGATTTGAAAAAACTGAGGCATATCGTTGAAAGACATTATAATTGATACAATGATAAGCTATTGGTTTCCATACAGTTACACTATATAAGTTAATATTACCAATGATTGATGTAATTCTTTGAATATTTCTTCTTTTATGGAGGGTACTAATATATCATTCTCAATTTCAAAAAAATTTAACTAATATAATTCTATAATTTTGTTTCAAATACAAATTCATGGTTACAGAAATTGCTGCCATTAAACCAACACTTTTTCCTGTAGCATTCAATTTAAAAATGCTGATGTATTTTCAATAAAATAGCTGTAGCTATTAATAGGATGAATGTTAGGTCAAACTTTATTATGATAAAGCAGTCTCTCATCAGGAACTATTTCCAAATTTCTCTCGCAAAAAATGCGATATGCTTTCCATAGAAGATTTGAATCTTTTGATTTCTTTTACACGATTATTCTGGAGATTTATTATTAGCATGGGATAATTTCGACAAATGCTTCCTAAGTAATCGTGCCCTAAACTTAATATTGGGAATAATAAAAGTCATCATAATATATTTTTCATTTCCTTTTAATTGTTTTTTGAAATTCATTTGAGAACAGCAAAAAATAAAACATACAAAAAATTTATATATTTTCATATAGATTATATGATTGCTGTGATTTAAAGTTTGGCTAATGTATTCAGTTAATTGATATGATTTTAGCAAACTTAAAATGTTTAAAATATATCCTATATGATAGTTCTTGATCTTTTACAATAAAATTCTTGGCCGTATCAGTTTTCATAAAATGATTCTTTAATTGAAATTAATATTATTAAAAATAAAAATTTTACAAAATATTGCCTGGTTAACAGTGGATTCAAACCAGTGCAAAATTACTAATTTTTTAAAATATTTTTTCATAATCTTTAGGGCTATATTTAAAGTGTGTAGTTTAAAATATGTTTTTTCCATAAAAAATTTAAAATTATCCTACCATTTCAATATTTATGATTTTAATATTGCACAATGGCCACTACAGGGTTATACAACCCTGTAGCTGCACATAAAACTTGTTTTATTAGTGATAATTACGTTATATTAGTCATCTAGTGTTTTTGAGATTAATTCTCAATTTTTTAAACCCAAATTATACTTTTATACTAAGTAAAGATAGTGCATATATAATTTCCATTGATTTTATTTTATTTAAAATATAATAAATATTTATTCCTTTATTTTTTTTTTGTTTAAATTCTGAAACCCTTCGTCAAAAACAGTATGGTAATGAACTCATTATATGTAATTATTTAAATTATAAACTGCCAACTCCATTAAAGGTATAAAAATATTAAACTATTAATGTTATTGTTTACTTAAAAAGTCTTTTCATTTATGTGTTTGCATTTTGAATAAATTTAACAGTCAGTTAAACATTTATATTTGCATAAGTTGACAGAATGGCCGAGCGGTCTAAGGCGCTACGTTCAGGTCGTAGTCATCATATGGCGCGGGTTCGAATCCCGCTTCTGTCATTTTTAGTGGAAAAACAAATTTACACTTTTACAGATCATATATTTGCAAGTTCTGTGAATATTAAAAATTATTGCGCTCATAGCAATTTATTTATCGTATAAATGATGTAATTTAACCTGATTTCAGTTCCCTATATATTTACACAAAATATTTAACGAAATATATTTTTTAATCCAAAATACTTTATAAAACTAATTAAAGTGAAGCAACAATACTCACAATGAAGATTAAAAACTGCTGTATTTGTGAAAATATATATAATATTACCTCATTATAAATAATACTGAGCTTTTTCTGATTTAAAAAAATTTATTTTTTACAAGCGAAATTAAATAAACAATAAAGGAGTGAAATTTCATTAAACACCCCTGATTCGAACCCTGCTTTTATTTATTTTTTAACAACAAATACTGTAAAAATTGAAACTAAAAATAGAAAAATAATACTTAAATGTATTTAATAAATTTTCCCAAAGATTTCAAGTATTTTATCTTCTCCAAATATATTCTAAAAGTTTCTATTAAAGATATTTTTTATTCTTACATTTAGGAACAACATTCATCTTCAATGCATATTATTTACCTTCAATGATATTTGTGTGTTAACTATCGGCGTTTTTTAAAGAATTTGGTGGTTTGCTCAATGATGTAAAAAGCGGAATTATTTTTGAAAAGTGATGAAACATATTTCATCAATCACATCAAAGCCCGCCAAAAGTCCCTCCAAAATGAAAAGTATAAATACGAAGAAACTTGGAGAGGATGGCCCAGGAAA